GCCCCTGCCCCGCCCGATCCCTCTCGCTTAGCCCCGCGCCGCGCAGAGACCCCCCGCTTCAGCGAGTAGGACGAGAAATAACTGCTTCCTTGCGATTAAGATGCCTATCACACAGTCATCTCAAAAGCGCAAAAATACAAAAGGCGGTCAAATATTTTCTTTGGTCTCCCGTTTTTGTCATTCCCCGAAACCCAAATACCCGATATTATTTTTGAAAAAATTGGAAAGGACATACGCGTAGTTTGCTGTTGATCTTTTGTCATTTTTGTTTGGGGGGGGGGGGGTGGAAACCCTGGAAAGTTTCTTAAAAATTTTAGGAAATTTTCAGGAAAAAACGGGAAACTTCCGTGAAAGAAATGAAAATTACCCGAAGTTTTCCGTAATTTTCGGGAAATTTTCGGGGATTTTTCGAGAAAAATTCGGAAAAATTTCGGAAATTTCCAACCCTAGTAATTTTGAGATTTATTTATTTTTGACGCTCAAACCATCGCCCGTCCTCTCGGTCGCGCCACCAAACGCAAGCAGCAGCAGCACGGCGTGGTCAACCACTCGGCTCTTCGCTTCCACTTGTATGTTTGTGTCCGGGACCCGCCAGTGTGTTGACAAACAGGAGGGGGAAGGGAACAGAGAAGGAATGGGGATGAATTGGCGCGGGGAGGTGCGGGGAGGAGGAGGGAGGAGAGAGGGGGGGGCAGAAAAAGGAAGCGAGAGGGCCTGGTGAGGTCGGGAGGGGCGGCTGTGGGTGGAAGTGGAGGGGGGGGGGTCTTATTTGTGCTGTGTGATTGGAAAAGCGTCGCTTTGTGCCGCGCGCGGGATTCGCGTAAGAAGATTGCGCGGTAATGTACTGACTGAGCTGTGCCTGTGCGGGGGCGTGGCGGGGCGGGGCTGGTTGGGTAGAGAAAGAGAGAGCGATAGAGAGCGAGAGAGACGGCTGGGGACACACGCACACCTAATCGCTGCTCGCTGCTCGAGTGCCGACGCGGTCGTGTCTGCCTCATTTTCGCCCCGGACGCCATAAATGGCCTGAAAAGCATGGAGCGGCCCCAAAGAGACGGTTAATGCCGTCCGTTCCGCCCGCAAAGGAAGCTATTTGCGACAGGGTGATTGCTTCGAGCGGGCCGCCCCCGCGCCCC